TCTTTGAGTAGTGTCCCCATGGGTGCTCCACTTCAGGTAACTCCCAAGCAGTGTCCTCCTAGGGATGAGAGAGCTTCAGATTTGGGTCCAGAACTGAAAACAACTGCATTGCCAACTGCTACTTTGGTTCTGGAGGCATGGGCAAAGGCAAAGTGCTTACGGAAGGTATATATTGAAGACCATGTAGCGGCTCTACAGATCTCAGTTACTGGAACATATTTAAGTAATGCCATAGATGTTGACTGCAACCTTGTAGAGTGGGCTATCACCTGAGAAGGAGGTTGAATGATGGCCACTCCAAAATATGCAATAATACACTCCAAGATCCATCTTGATAGCCTCTGAGTGGAGACTGTGGATCCTGTCAATCTGTCTGCAATGGAAACAAATGGACTAGGAAACCTCCAAAATGATTTAGTTCTATCTAGATAGATGGCCAATGCTCGTCTGACATATAAGGTATGGAAGGAAGCCTCCTGTCTGCAATTATGTGGTTTTTTGGGAGTTTGGGGAATGGTAAATGAATGGTAAGAATAAGATGAAACTTGGGTGACACCTTAGGTAGTAAGTTAGCGTGTGGACATAACAAAACTTTGTCCTTTCAGAAAACCGTGCAAGGAGGGTCTGCCATTAAGTCCCCAACTTCTGACTCTTTGGGTCATGTGATAGCCACCAAAAAGGCAATCTTCAGACACAAATTCAGTAAGAAGCAGGTTGCCATTAGTTCAAAGGGAGGTCTTGTGAGACATGTAAGAGCTATCCTAAACTGGAGTGAAGACTTTCACTTGAGGGAAAAGGTTCTTCAATCCTTTGATGAACCTTATATTTGTTGGGTGAGCAAGCACTGAAAACCCTTCCACTGGGGAAATGAAAGGCTGCTATGGCAACCAAGTAAACCTCGACCAAGTTAGATGATAATCTTGTTTTCTTCAGTTGCAGCAGGTAACCAAGATAACCGAGACTGAGGAACAGTCAGGTGCGAGTCTTTGAAGTTCACACCAATGGCTAAATCTTTTCCACTTTTGAAGGTAAGTATTTCAGGTAGATTCTTTCCTACTGTTTAATAACACCTGCTGTACCTCCGCAGAACAGGTAGACTCTAACCCCGCAAACCATCAAGGAGCTACATCTTGAGGCAGAGAACTCTTAGGTTGGGATGAAGTAACTGTCTTGGGAGATGAGATAAGGGATGATCGGAAGCTTGATTGCTGGAGAGGGGGACAGGTGAAACAGGTAAGGATACTATGCTTGTCCTGCTGGATTTTGTTCACCACCTTCAGTATCAGACGTGTTGGGGGGAAAAACACACAGAACAGTCCCTTCATCTAAGGCAGGAGGAAGGCATCCCTCAGGGAACTATGGCCTAGACCCCGTCGTGAACAGAACATACAAAACTTTCTGTTGATGGAGGTGGTGAAGAGGTCCACTTCTGGAAATCCCCAAGTTTGAAATATGCCCTGGAGGGTAAAAGAGTCCAACTCTTATTCGTAGTCCTGGGAAAAGCATCTGCTAAAAGCATTGGCCCAGTATTTTGAATACCGAAGAAGTACACTGCCGAAATATGTATTTGATGGATTATATACCAGTTCTGTAGCTTTATTACTTCGAGGCACAGAGAGGGGATCTTGCTCCTCCTTGACAGAAAACATGCAGGCCACACTGTCAGTCATGACCCTGATTAACTTGTCCCTGATGAGAGGCAGAAAGGGAAGGCAGGCATTTCTGACCAGTCTGAGTTCCAACAAGTTGATGTGGAGACTGCTTTCTTGAGATGACCATTTGCCCTGGATTGTATGAGTGTTGAGATGTGCTCCCCATCCCAACAGAGATGCGTCTGTTGTTACAGTGACCATTGATATTGGTCAGAGGAAGGGAACTCCTGCATCGATGTTGTGATAATCTTTCTACCAGTCTAGGGAATCTTTCACCTGGTGGGGAACCGAAACCTGTTTGTTTAAGTTGTGTCTGTTTGGTGAGTAGATTGCTCTGAGCTACCCCTGGAAGCAACAAAGGCATCATCTTGAATGATCTGTTATCACAGTGCAAGCTGCCATGTGTCCTAGGACCTGAAGGCAGTTTCTCACTGAGGTTTGAAGGCTCTCTTGAATAGTCCAGACAAGATCTGACAGTGTTATCAATCTGTCCATGGGAAGGTAGGTCCTGGCTACCAACAAATCCAAGGATGCGACATGAACTGTATTTTCTGTACAGGGGTCAACATGGATTTCTTGACATTGAGCCAGAGACCTAGTTTCATGAACAGAAAAAGGGCCTTCTGCGTGGCTCCCAGCACTTCTTCATAAAACTGACCCTTGAACAGCCATTGTCAAGGTACAGGAACACTATAATTGCCTCAATTACCATTAGAACCTTTGAAAACACACTCGGCACCAAGGAGAGTCTGAAAGGGACCACCTGGTATTGAAAATGATCCTGACCTATAACAATATCTTCTGTGAGATGGGTGTCTCACTATATGGAAATATGAGGCTTGTAGGTTGAGGGCGAAAAGCCAATCCCTTGAATTTAATGAAGGAATTCTAGCTCCCAGAGTCACCATCCTGAACTCCGGAGACTTTACAAATTTGTTTAGGAGCCTTAAATCTAAAATTGGTCTCCATCCTCTGTTTTTCTTTGGTACAAGAAAGTACCTTGAGTGGAAAACTTTCCCCTTGTGTAGAGAAGGGACAGGCTTTATCACTCCTAAATGAAGAAATTAGTTTATTTTCGGTCTCAGCAAGAGCTTGTAAGAGGGGTCCCTGAAGATGGAAGGGGGTGGAAAGGAGGGAGGGAAGTAAAGTGAATGGTGTCACCTGATGTTACAATCTCCAAGACTCAAGTCTGTAGTAATCTGTTTCCATACATGCTGAAAATGGGAAAGTCAGTCTCCAAAACGGGAGGGGGGGGGGGGAATGTTGCAGCTAGTGAACTAAAGAATGGGGAGGATTTGAGCCCTCAACCAAATTGTCAAAATTGATGTCTCAATGACTACCCTTGTTGCGTACTTGGGACAGATAGATCTTCCTCTGGAACCTGGTTTTTTTCCGGGGTGGGGTGGGGAGGGGAGAGAGGTAAAAGGGGGAGGGTTCAGTGGGTCTTTGGAACACAGAGAATTGGATCAGACAGGATATCTGGGAGGTTTGTGATCTACCAGATTTTCTTTTGTTCATCGGTAAGTAAATTCCCAGAGATCAGAAAGTGGCCCTGGAGTCTTACAAAGTGTGCAGAGATTTTTCTGTTTTCTCTGAAAACATCTTCAGACCATCAAAAGGGAGGTCCTCTATAATGCTCTACACCTATCTAGGGAACCTGAACAGTTGGAGCCAGGATGATCTACACCTAACTATTGCTGTAGAGACAGAATAGACCCCAGGATATGCCAGATTTAGGGATGTTTTAAGGGATGTCTTGGCAAGCAACTGTCCCTCGGCAATGATGGCCTGAAATTGCTCTCTTTGCTCCAGTGGAAGGTGCTCAATAAGAACAATAAATCTGGTATAGTAATTATATTTTGCTGTGATTTGGTAATTAGTGATCTGGAATTGTAGAATAACAGATGAGTAGGACTTTAGTCCAAAAAGGTCCAGGCACTTCTGGTCTTTATCATACACTGTCAACCTCGTGTGGTGTTGTTTTCCCTGCTCAGTCCCTGCATCAACCACCAGAGAATTAGGTGGGGAGTGGGAGAATAAACACTTGGAGTTGTTGGTAAGAACATAATACCCATTTCATGAGGTCCTGTATTTGCTGGAAATCGTCACCACAGACAGTGGTGGAGACATTACTGCTGCATCTGGTGATGATGATGAGTAGATGGTCGTTTGAGGGGTAGCATCTTTATATGCCCTGACCTCCTGCTCCTCGAACATCTTCTACTGCTGAGGAATGGGCTGTAGTGGAGGAGGTTGTGTCCCTATAGTTCCAGACAGTGGGGCTCAATGCCTTTAACAACTGTTGTTGGTATGCTACCCAGGATGACCACTGTGGGGAACCATACAGGAGAGGAGGTAGCAACCAAGGTTGTTTGTAGAGGTAGATGGCAGCAGAGATTTAGAGCACTCCAAGGTGGGCATTGATGGAGTCAGATACTTAGGCTTCTATGATGCTGAGGAACCCTTTGGGGGAGATACCAGGTTGGCGCCAGGTCCAATGGTACTGGTTTGGAGAAGTGTCTCTCCTTGCCATCTTTATTGTGGCTAGACAGTACAAAAGCACTCTCTGAGCCATGTTTGTTCTTGGAAAAGCACCAGGATTTTCCTGCTCCGCTGATATCTCTACAGTATTGGGTTGAGAGGTTGAAGTTTCTGAGACCCTTGACCTACAGGGAGACCAACATCTTTTTGGAGCAGGCTCCTTCTGAAGGGAGTCAGAGCTCCTCTTCCTGGGAACTTTTGAGGAGGTCTCTGGAGTCTTCCCATTTCTGGGGGACTGCTGAGCCAAGGCCGAAGGGGAGTTGGGATCTGCCCAGAGACTGCTGTACCGGGGGAGGGGGGGGCGGGTTCTCCTGACCTGGCTCTGGAGTGGGGCAAAGGAAATGCTCCATCATTCGTAGCCTCAACTTAATCTAAGTGGGGCAGTGTTTGAACCCTGGTAAGCTGGGAATGTCCTTCCAAGGAAAGTGAGCCTCCCCAGAGGGAGGAGAGAGGGAAAAAAACCTATCCTCTCAACTATTAAATTAAGCTAATCTAACCAACAAACTAGGAGAGCGCTAAACTAAACTAGCAAGTATAAGAAAAAAACTTTAGCCAAGGCACACTCAATGTGGACATGTTAAAGCGCCATCGCAGGCCGAGGCAGTCAAGAAGGAACTGAGGGTGGTTTGCCTATCAATGCAAGGCACAAGGAAGCATAAGGGTGCATGTGTGGGCTGAATGGACACTGCTAATGAAAATCTCTGATTGAAGGCGCACACACAGCTAAAGTGGAGCAACCATACGAACAATACTCAAAGAACAACTCTTTTTGGAAGGAAAATTATAGAGTAAACAAAGAACACTCACCGATATCAGAAAAACTTTGACTCCCTGGTCCTCTGTATCCATGGCTGTGATACGGATACTCTTTTCACTGGCTTTGTCAATCTGCATCTGAGCCCAGAGCTTGGTGTTCAGGATTAACCTGAGACTCCCCTGAGTCCGCATTACTAGAACCAACGTACAAAGTAAATTAGCAGGAAACACTGGACATTTGGACATCGCAGAAGACTCCAAGTAAGAACCCTATTGTCACTTTCAGAACGTATATTTTTTAAAAAGAGAGTCCTGTTTATATACAACTTTCATGTCTCTTCAAGAAAAGCAGCAAAGGGGAAAAACACTGAGACAGCATAACTAGAAGAATCAGACCTGGGTAGCTTTATTACATTGCTGAAAGAATGTATAGGGGCTAGAGAGGGCACCAGAGTCAGCTCCAAAGTCTCTATTTATATATTACAGACTAGAGATAGAAAACTCCAGCTTCCAGAAAGCATAGGATCATTCCCTAGCATATATTTACTAATCTTTAAAGACTGTATATTTATCAATGCATAAGACATGGTGAGGAATTTATAAAATCTTTATATTGTATTCACTGCCAAAGAATCAGAGGGGTAGCCGTGTTAGTCTGTATCCATGCATCTGAAGAAGTGGGTTTTTTACCCAAGAAAGCTTATGCCCAAATAAATCTGTTAGTCTTTAAAGTGCCACCGGACTCCTCGTTGTTTTTATTGCCAAAGAACTTTGTTAATGCAGTAAAAGTTATCTAGCAATGCCTTGTGTCTTTCTAGAACGTGAACAGTGGCTAAATTAAAACCTCTTAAAATCAGGAGAGAGCTAAGGTGATGTCTCCCACACCACATCTCTATACAGCTGTAATTCCATCACGCTACCCCTTGTAGCTGGCAATAGGCACTGTGGCCAAACCTGACCCATCCCTAACAAAATCTGCCACTTATGTGTTGTGCTGGGTGGGTCCAACCCAATTCTGTACCATCAAGGCTTCTGATGTACTTGTTGCCCCCTCACTGTGCTAGAGGGAGCTGTATTGATCCAGGCATTAGTTGCAGCAAATTGCCAGAGCTCACCCTGCCAACTGAGCGGTGCAGCTGCAGTTAGAGGAATCAAGGCAATCTAATTTCTGGGCTCTGCTATGCAGGAGGTCCAAGTATAGGATCATGATCACAATGGCCCTTCTTGATTCTAAAAATGTATGAAGGAGTTAAATATCTATAAGGTTTGGGAGCTGCTGGAACGGCTACCACTGTCCCCTCCAGAGGCAGACATTTCACTAGGTATGTCGAGAAGATAGGGGAACATAAGAGTGCTTCATCTCCTTCTGACACTTTCTTGAATATTCACAGTGCCTATCAGAACCCCACATGCACACTGGTATTCACACACCCTCCCTGTCCTCTGCAGCACTACTGTTCTTGGGAATTCTAGCAATCTCGTGTTCCACCTCAGAGCTCCATAAGGCTCAGTGAGGGATAGCTGAAGGGGACAAGGGTGAACAGCTGTTAATATCTGGCAAGTCTGAGGTTTATCTTGAGTAAGTAAAGTGGTCAAATGTAGGTCAGGCTTAGTTAGTTCCTCTTCACTAAGCCTAACCTAAATTTTATATTTATCCTAGTCAAGACAAGGCCTAAGAGTTCCCACCTCCCACCATTACTTTCCCCTCTCCTTTGCATACTCAAGAAGAACACAGTCTCATGAGCTCTGACAGGGACAAGCTGCGGCATTGTTTGAATAGGACAGGGTTAAAGTTGTGGAGTGGAGGGTTGTGGTGTAGGTTTTCCAAGGTTTAAGTTTAGCCACCCTTCGGGGTGACTGGGTGAAATTTAATGGGCTGTGATATACAGGAGATCAAACTAGATGACCTAATAGCCCCTTTTGGACTTACTCTGTGACTCTATTCAAGTTCTGGAAGGGTACAAGGCAGTGCTTGGCAACCTTCAGCCTGTGCTAACAACATTTGTTGGCAACGAATTCCCTTTAAAAAAAGAAAGAAAAGGGTAGTAGTGAGAAGGGCATGACTGATGGGCATCCGTTGGGGTGGTTTCTTGGGCACACCTTGCTACCAACTCATCTATCAGCTCTGCCCTCCTCAGTGGCCTCTTCATACTCTTCGTCAGACTGGAGGGCCACAGGGAGGAGGAAAAAAGGTCCAATCTGATCAAGTAATCTCAGGATGGTGAAGATTAGTGCCATAGTTTGAGCCACAGACGGGTGCAAAAAAGTTATAACAATTGGAAAATTGTATTAATCAGTCTCATTCCCCCACTCCAGGTGTTGTATCTCAGGATCCACTTAACTAAGTTACCCAAATTTGCACAGCTAATTGCTACTCCATGGCCCAATGAGGCACAACAATTTTCAAAACAATAGGACTACAAATGTAGATTTTAGAGCACTTCTATTTATTTTTCAATAGTTAAACAAGCAGCTCTGCTCAACCTAGTCACTAATGCACCTTTATTATATCAAGGAAGAGAAAGTACACTATATATGACTTAATCCACAGTTAGCTGTTTAAGAAACAGCCACAGCCTAATGCATAGATGTCAACAACTTTAAGCAGCTACATTATACATCCCCACAAAATATGCAGCCGCATAAACCAAAAAAAATGGCAGCACCTACCAGAGATGTCTTGATTTCTTAAACCATGGTGTCTATTGTCATATAGTATATTTAATTTCCTATTCAGCTATTTACGTTGCAAAGCCATGGAAGCAGGAATGATATTTTCTACCCTAAATCAAGCTGTACATTTAGTTTAAACATTAGCAACCATAGGGAAACCTGGGAGAAGGCTGATATTAGGAGACAAAGTTACAGAGACGTGTTTTTCTATAGGTGTAAATATGTGGTTAGGTGGTTAGATATACAGGATATAAGAACTTCTAGCCACCAATCTTCCAGTTGCTGAAGACTGCTTGATTTTAAAGGACAAACATTCAACAGAAATAACTATGTTCTTTATGCTTTTAGGAATGTGTTACCTGCAGGTGGATAACCAGCAGCTTGGTGATCACTGTACCAAATCTGCAAAGAGATCCCCTCTTCGCTTTAGGAAATCTATACTAAATCTGTCCAAAATTCAGGATTTCTGTCTTGTAAGCAAACTGGAAATTCCCAAAAATATTTGTTTCAGAAACACCAACACACGATGTTTCAGAAATGCAATTTGCTCCCTGGAACCAGCAGACAGTGAGTGTAACTGTATGCTGTGTTATAGACACGTCAGTCCCTAGATAATAAAGAGACACGGTGGATGCGGGAATATCTTTTATTGGACCAACTTCTGTTGGTGAGAGAAGCTACACACCTTGTCTCACTGAGTCAAACTGACATTCTTGACATTCTCAATTTCACTCAGCAGCTGCCAGGGCTCCCAGGATCTGCACCTCTGGACAACCCTGCCAGGCAGGCTGCCCAGGGCTGGTGACCCCAAGGCTTCCTGGCCTGCTTGGCACCCCAGGGAGCCACCTGGCCCAGGAGTCTGAAGCCCTGGGGTAGTACACATGGCTGGGCTGCCCTAGAGATACAGACCTTGGGAGCCAATCCCAGGACTTCGAGGCTCCCAGTTTGGGCTTCTGCAGCAGTAAGCCTGGATGTCCCGAGAGTCCTCAGGGCTTTCTGGTACCTAGGCTCCACAGCAGGAAGTCTGGAAAGCCAGGTATGGCAGGGCTGTCCCAGAGCCACAGACCCTAGTAGCCTGGAGTCCTCTGGAGGCAGACTGCATGGCGTGGCTGCCGCAAAGCCATGGATCCAAGAAACCTGCGGTCTTCAGTCCTGGGGCAGACTGTATGGTGGAGCTCCACAGCAGGTAAGCTGAGAGGGTTCCATTAAACCCAACTGCTTTGCAGAGAAGTTTCATGTTCAATGAACTGATATTTTCAGACAAGCTCTAATCTACACATTAAAGTGTAACAGAAGGGCCATCCTGGGAGACTGACATGAACTTCAAATTTTTCTTACTTTTTTTTTTTTTTTTTTTTTTTAACTGCTATATTTAGAAACAGTAACCCAAAGTGGATACCCCTAACTATCAAGGAAACATTTTGTGGTAGTAACACAGAATATCATCCCAATAATTCACTTCCCACAGCTCATCTTACCTAGTCGAGATTGTAACGTTCCATCATCTGTTGATGCCATGTCATTGAGTCTCAGAAGTCCTCTACCTCTTTCCACCCAAGACTGAGAGTTCTTATCAAACACAAACAACTTGCATTGTATCTGCCAAAAAAAAAAAAAAAAAAGGAGAGATGCCTCCTTGCTGAAGTTCCTTAATGTAATGGTTGACTATAATTACAGAATACATCATGATTACTGAACCAAAAATCTCCCAATCTACATTTCAATAGATTTCAAAAGTATTTGCTACAGTGAAATTTCAGGCTTCTAAAATGTGCTGGACTGATACCCTGAAAACTAAAGTCTTATATTCTCTCTGGCAACTAAAGCCCTCAAAATATACTGTGACGTTGAACTCCATATGATTTTATGAAAATATGCTAATGAGTGTGAATGTAATGTAACTGGAATATGCTTCATGCAAAGGGTCTCTTGTAAGGTATCATTACAAAGCTTATATTCTACTGAGTGTGGTCATCCTATTTGTATAAATGTATCATTCTTGTATCTGAAACTAGAAATATGAAATATAACTCTGAGGTCCGATTGCAATTATACAAAGTGTGGGCCATTAATGATGGTTTGGAATCTTGATGGCTCCCATCAACTAGGACAATTGGTTGTAAATGGCTTTGTTTACTTGCAAGCCTTCCTGTGAGTCAGGCCAGGAAGAATGAAGGCTCGGGGTCTCACAGGCCAAGTGACCATGTCACCTGGTACTGAAAACTATCTTAAACCTGGTGCTTTTCCATTTAGGAGGAGTGGGGACCCAAAGACACAAAAGACTCCCGCCTTGTGCCAAAGCTATATAAGGGGGGTGGAACAGAACAAAGGGGGTTCCAGTCATAAGAAATACCCTAGTTACCACCTGAGCTGGAGCTAACAAGAACTGTACCAGGGAAAGGATTAGACCCAGACTAGGAAGGAGTCCAGTCTGTGAAAGAAGCTTATTGGAACATCCCTGGGGGTGAGATTTCATCTGTAATCAGTTTCTTAATGTACTAGGCTTAGACTTGCGTATTTTGTTTTATTTTGCTTGGTAACTTACTTTGTTTTGTCTGTTATTACATGGAACTACTTAAATCCTACTTTTTAAATTTAATAAAATCACTTTTGCTTATTAATTAACCCAGAGTAAGTAATTAATACCCTGGGAAGCAAACAGCAGTGCATATCTCTCTATCAGTGTTATAGAGGGCGGACAATTTATGAGTTTGAACTGTATAAGCTTTATACAGAGTAAAACGGATTTATTTGGGGTTTGGATCCCATTGGGAGTTGGGTGTCTGGGTGCTAGAGACAGGAGCACTTCTTAAGCTGTTTTCAGTTAATTCTGCAGCTTTGGGCACATGGTTCAGACCCTGGGTCTGTGTTGGGGCAGACTGGTGTGTCTGGCTCGACAAGGCAGGGTTCTGGAGGCCCAAACTGGCAGAGAAAACAGGCTCAAGGTAGTCTCAGAACATCACGTGACAGTCCCAAGGGGTGTTCTGTGACCGAACCCGTCACATATACTATGTTGCATCTTTTTAAATTATGTATTTAATTTTTTTAAATGTATACATGCCATGGACTGTCTCTGATTAGGAAAGGCAAGTTGAAGAGCAAGAGTACCTTGCTCTTAGAACATAATGTGGTGTAGTTTGTGGTTGTTCTTAGATCCTGCGGGAGGTTCATTCCACAGTCTCAGATAGGGAAACAGCACTGATTTGCGAAGGACTCTTTATTCTGATTATCTGAATCCTGAAATCTAACCATAGTTCATTAAACTGTGTCCTGTTTAAGATAAAGAGCCGTAACAATTTCAACAAAAACACCTGCCTCAGTTATAGAACATAGGAAAGCATATAGGATGGTGCCATGAAGCTGAGTTGCAAGAACTTGAATGGGAAGTTAATAGTGGGAAGCAATCATCATAGAATGATGAAGCTGGATGATCATATGAATCCCAACAAGACTGAAGCTTAACTGTGTGACCAATTTCTTACCTGTAACACATTGCTCTCTGCTTCTTCCCCAGTGATCACCTCTACCTTCTCCAGTAAACACTTCTTTGCTGTTGCTTTAGTATAGGCTGCTGCAGACTCTGCCAGTGATTCTGAAATATTATTAGCTGAACAACATTTTTCAAGTTTATTTTGGGCACTAGTCACATAAATTCACGTCATACAGATGGACAGCCATGGGCACCTACACAGAGCCTGCCATTTACTTGAATAAGCTACCAGTTAATATGCTTTTCCTCTGGAGCATGACTGTCTTGTGCAACTGTCATCCTGCCAGGTTCTCAGTGGCCAGCCAATTGTGCTTTTATCAGGATCTAGAAATGGATATGAAGTCTGAAGAAAGCAGTTTTGTCTGTCTTTTCAGGAACGGTTCCTCTTCTTTTCTTAAAACCATAATCAAGAGGGGAAAAAATTCCCAAACACAGATACTGGTAACTCTGAAAATCTGGTCCATAAATTATCTGAGTCTCTCTAAGAAGAGGATTTTGCAAAATCTGTACAAAACAGATACTTATGCTCACCTCTACAGGTGTAATGTTAATGTCTCCACTGCTACACGTAATACAGGCATGCCTGCATTTGAAAATGCAGCCCTTTATTTTATAGTCTCTGACTGGCTGTTCACTGGCAACTAAAACTGGAGGATTCCTATAACTCCCACATAACCTCTATTTTTCATAAAAAACCTACTCCCTCACAGGGTCAAAGCAAACCCCTAATTTCAGTAAATTGTTTTGGCTTTGATGAGGTAATATCTAAAACCAGTTTTTAAAAAACATTTCTGGAGCACCCAATCACCATAGCATAAACTCTACATACTTCGATTCAGTTTACGTTACATCCAGCAACTATAAAACAGAATAAAAATAATTCCTTGCCACCAATCTTCTGTAATAAAACTGGGCTGACTATATGCCCTCCAAATTCCTGCCACTTTCACACTGCTGGAGATACTCCTGATCCACATGCAGTGAACAAGAGTACCCCTGGCAGGGCTAGAGCAGCCTGGATGGGCTGTTAACACACAACACCCTCCTTCTTCACAGACCTTGAGGGGACCAAGGAACCTCCCCCTCCACTTTTTAAAAAAATGTTGGCTAAGAAGGGACAATAAAGGCAAGGGGAGGTTTTATATTTTCATGTAATAAAACCACAACTGCAAGCACTTAACAAGGATTAGGCATAACACAAGCAGTAACAGAATACTGTTTCTAAGAATTAGTTCTAAAAAATATTCCACTATTTACCTTTCTCTGGAGTAGCTTCCTGTGAAGAAGATTCAGAGCCAGATTCTGTAGCAGCATTTTCCTTGCTACTTTCTGTACCTGCTTCATTTGATTTTGGTGGGCTCTGTAAGGAAAAGAGGCAAAACAGATGAACTTTTGGATTTGCAAAAACAAGAGTACTAATGTGATTCTTGAGGCAGTCCTGCACCTTTAGTAATTTTATAAAGGTACGAGTATCTGGTACTCCCTGGAGTACATATTTCCTTAGTACAAATTGTAGCATTACTCCCGACTACTCTGACTGACCTGATGATGCAGAAAGGAGGGGTGCTAGCATGGCAGGGTGGAGGTGTATAGCACTGGAAAAGAAATAATGGACTCCTTGCTATCAATGCAGCCACACTAGCACCAGCAGTTCGTAATTCTGTGGTGCCGGGGTTCAAGCTCAGGGTGCTGAATCATGCAGTGTGTCTTTGGCATCAAGATAGCTGGCTTCTCCACCAGATAGACTGATGCTACATGGATTGGACCGAGAATCCCTTGCATGGGAGACTGGAAAACAGCCAGCCTTGGTGCCAACTATTCAGTCAAAGGGGAGACTGAGAAAAAACTGCCAAGGTGGTAGACAGCTACCCTGAACTATTAACTACGAGAAAGTTCACTAAGTTAGACTAACAACAGTCATTCACAAGGGAAAAGGTTTGAGGGGAGAAGCTTGCTATAGCAAGTGGGACAAACAGTGCTGTGTTCTGGCTCACTGCCATGGGTGGTAAGAAGGAATCAAGTGGCAGTTGGGGGGGACACTCATCATGTCCTTGGGTGGGAGCCACAAAGACACTCAAGACTCACGTGCAGTACCAAGAGACACTGCTGACCAGACATGCATGAGGCATTCATATCACATGGATAATATGCAAAGAAATATTACATTTAATCAGGGCCGGCTTTAGGCCGATTCGGCTGAATTGGGCCCCACGCAAAGAGGGCCCCGCGCTGCAGCTCTCCACCCCGCCCCGCCCTCAGCTCACTTCCCCCTCCTCCTCTCCCCTGAACGCTCCGCCCCCTCCCCTGCTTCCCGCGAATTCGCGGGAAGTCTGAAAAGAAGCAGGGGCGGGTAGGCAGCACCAGGTAAGCTGGGGTGGCGGGGGGCGCGAGAAGGGCTCCGGGGAGGCGCGGCCCAGTCCGGCCCTGGTTCCGGCCGAGCAGCAAGCCCCAGCGGCTCTGGCCCGGCTTGGCTCCAGCCCGGCCCCCGCGGCGCGGCTCGGGTCCGGCGCGGCTCCGGCCCAGCGCGGC